GCTTTTTGAATTTGTACGAATCCCTACTATCAGTTGGCATTCCAACAAATTAAAAATCGATGGGTTACAAACGGATGTGGACCCAAAAACAATTCGTTTGTAAAGTTAACCTTTCTTGATGATTTTCTTTTAATATCTCGGCCAAATAATGTCAGATTTTCAAATTTTATACGACATAATCTCGCAATAATTAACTGCGGAGATACCCTGTACGCCTTGCAAGGCAGAAAATGTTTTTGTGCATAAAATACTATTTGGGTCAGATAAGGGGGAATGCTCAACTGATGCTTAAATCGCATGCAAGCTGCTGTGCATAGAGTATCTCCTAGTCGGGCACTAAACTGGATCACTCTTTTTATTGAAATTTCCTTTCTCCTGCTCCCAGTGCCCAGAGGCAAGCACGTGGCCTCAACCTAGCGTGTCTGATGGTAATAAAGCATCAACTCCTGCGACTGACTTACATATATGTTTATATTTAGAATCAGATCTGAACTTGGCGTTTGCAGAAGTATATAACAAAAGGAGAATAGTTGTATATATAATTGGATTAAAGACTAGTAATCTCGGTGCCATTGGCGGGATTTGTCTGCCCATTGCCCTCGTTATTTTGTGCCAATTCGACTGCATTTTTCTGCTCCTTGGACTTGCGACGACGTATCAAGAAATAGCAGAGACTATAAAGGTAAGGCATGGTAGTTAAACTTGGAATTACATATTTGATGACTGTCTAAAACTTACACAAAGACCAGTACGTTGGGGACATAAAAGATTTCGCCAAACAAAAAGATGGCTCCGGGAAATTTGTCCACGGTGCTTTGATAAATCTCACTGTAGATGGGTGGGAATATGAACTGGCCGATGGGTTCGCTGATACCAAAGATGGAATACATTTTGCCTGAAATAGAATGAGTTAGATGCATCACCGACTGATATACATATATCATCAACAGGAACTCACTCAGCTCGTCTCCATCAACAATACTGGCACCAATTGTTTTGATGGCAATCACGCGCAGACTGACAAACATGTCCACTGCCGTGGCCACATAGAAGGAGGTAGTGTTTGTTGCCAAGGACTGTATAAAAATAAATATGCAAATTACAATTTTATTAGAATGTGCTCTAGTCGGAGGTTCCCGACCAGGAGGTACCCTGAACCCAGCAATAAGATTCCCTCACAAGTACTCTATGCTATGCTTCTTCAATTTGCTGCAATCTTTTCTTGAATAACTTTTGTATTTAAAGCTCTTCTTTTTCAGGGTCTAAATATTCCAGGCAAATGTGTGTAAAAGATATTTTTTTCAATTATGGGAGACATCTAAAAACGGAAATGTTCCTAATGAAACCTTAATATTAAGTTTGGTGTATCTAACTCTTATAATCTTCGAGCTTTGCTTAAAAAAATCATGTCTCAGAATCTATTTTTATGATTGGATATCTTTTACAGTCGCACACACAGACGGATGCGGTCAGATCTACTCAGCTCGCTGTCCTGATCAAATAAATATACGTTATACTCTCTTTTGATGCCTTGCTCTGCCTACTTTATGCGTTTGCGCAAAAAGATTATACTCCTTTAACCCATTGTCCATGGGTGCAGGGTTTAAAAAATAGTCAGATCCTTAGAGAACATACAAACAAGACGCGGGAGCCGACAATGGCCAGGGCGGAGAGTGTGCCAATAGCCGGGTCCGAAAATTTTAACATTTTGCTTAGAATTGCGGTCCCAATAAAGGTGCCCACCAGCGCCGCCAGGCCCGAGATGGTCGAATATATGCTGAAATCGTTGCCATTCCAGTTCAGCTTCTTCAATGTGTAGCGATACCAATAGTCGTTCTCTCCGGTGGCAGGTCCCAGTGTCAGGAAATAGGCCAGAATCAGCAGAATCAATAGAAAGCGCCCATTATTCTTGCGCTTCACTAAGGGAAACCGAAGGCAGTCCACCACCAGCGTGGGATCAAAGAGCTCCTTTAGCAAGGAGCGGCGTGCTGGCACGGGCGGTGGCGGTGGTTCCACCTTGGGCGGCTCCAAATGCGGCGTCAGTTGAAAGTTGACATTCTTATTGACCGGCAGCTCATCTAGGTTGGTCGCCTCATAAGCCATGTTATCAGCCGCATGTCCTCGCAGCTGACTGGCAGGCAGATCGGCGCCAGTTGATTCCTCTGGCTTTTTTGGCGCCGGCTTAATCTCCTTGATAAAAAAGACGATGTAGAGTATTGCAATAATTTGAAAGACAACGGCAGATGCGAAAGAAACTGAAATCAAAATGGAAACAGTTAAAATCAATCAAGAGCGCACTTGTCGGGCATGACCGACTAGGAGATACCCTGGACTCAGCGTGGGGAAAATAAAATATTCCAAAATCTGTTCATTATGTTAAGCGAGCGCCTAAATAATAAACATGGTGGTTCGATACTTATCGATATATGGATGAAAGCCAAGCTATCGATACCGATTCTTATCGATATCAGTTCCTGTATTTGCCGTGATCGAGGCTTTTTTACAGACGGACCAAGTATATTATATTTTTATATTAGGTAAATCAAAATGTATCCAACCTACTTATGTAACCGAATGTATTGAAGAGGACTCCACTGAAAGCGCCCAGGAAGGGTGCACCGGTTACAAACATGGCAAAGATGCCGAAGCGAAAAACGCGATCCTCCTCGGGCGTAGCAATGGTAATATAGCTATATATGGCCATCAAGCAGAAGGTCAGACCACCACAAAGCGAGGGCACAATCACCTCCAGGTACATGCCAAACTCCACGGGCAGACTATCGAAGAATATAGCCGAGATGAGCAGACCTGCAAAGTACTCTTCATATACTCTATGAATATTTAATCACATTAGGTTACTTACAGGTAAACCCCAGAGCCTCGCCCACAATGGGCATTATCATGCATGGCTTGCGCTTATTGTATCTGTCCGACCAGCCTCCAGCGAAGAGCAGCACGATCAGCGGGAATATGGCGGCTATAAAAAAATTGGACAAAAGCAGTGAGATGATTGTCAGTTGTGTGGATTACTTCTACTTATTCATGAAGGATGCCATCCGGGCTTAAGCGGAACCGAATTCGTATTAATTTGGGTTAAAAAGAGAGATGGAACGAAGCCCGAACAAAACTGTATTTAAAAATATTTAAAAAATATCCTTTATCCTTTAAGTTGAACCCAGCCTCGGCCGGATCTATATGATATGTGCTGCTCCTTAGATAGAAGCTCGCAATTTCTAATAATGATGAGGATAAAAAAAACGTTGTTCACAGAAAAACACCGTAAGCACTTGGAAAAACTCATCAATGGAGGCATAAGAAATGGAATGTAATAGCCACAAAATGCACAAGTGTCATTTGTCTTCATTTGTAGGTAAATTAAACTGTTGTTTCGCTGGCTGATGCTGATGCAATGATTGTCAATAAATATTTTATTGGCATTTAATCAACTGCTTAGTGCCTGAGGCTGGGCAAAAACTCTGTTGATTTCTAATCACATATCACAATTTCGTTGCCTTGGCAATGAGAAAACTTAAAGGTTAAAAGATATCCGAAAAACAACAACAATAACAACAAATATAATCAATCTGTGTAACAAAACCGGTTTGGACTCGAATTTGCCCATGATTTAAGGTTTAGCACAGAGCTTAAAATTGAAACGGCAATAAAATGTATGTAATCGAAAAGAACTCAGAGAATCTATCAAACAAATGATTGCAATTAAATGCCTAGGGAACCACCAACTGCTAATTTGCCCAACCTTCAGACATGCATACATATATATTTGAAGATATATTAGGAATATGGGAATACATAATGCGAAATAATTTATTAGCTGTTTCGGTGTTTATTATTATGAAACCTGAAATGTGAAATACTGGAATGCGAAGTTCTAAAACTGGTTGCACTTGTATTGTTTATAAATAATTGGCCAAAGCATTTAAATAGACATCAGACAACAGGCAATGTGTGTGTTTTACCAATGGGTGCACGCTTTCCCGATATATCGGCGGACAGTATTTGGGCCTCCACTTCCGCTTTGCAAACGGTGTAATTAAAGCCCGTCCCATCGATACCGAGCAGACCCTGCTCCGGCGAGGCGCCTTTTGTGGTGTTTTCGAAGTTGAAATCATCGCACTCGATGCCTAACACGGATTTGTCCAGCATGGATGTGCAGGTGGCCTTGCTATAGCCCAGATTTACGCGACACGCCTTTTCCAGCGGGAAATTCTGCATGGCCACCTGGTTGAGCACCGAGGCCATAAAGTAGAAGAAGAAGAACGGCTCGATCACCAAATAACGTCGAAAGTGCCAAATTTTTTGTAAATAATTCATTTTTGGCTCTGGTGCAGAGCCCGCGCCCGTTTCATTTATCTTTGCCATATTCAATTTTTTTTTTTAGTTTTATTATTTGTTTTTATTATTGCGCTTTTGAGACTCTCGGTGTCTACATGTTAGGCGCCCAACACGTCGCGGCAAGTTCTAATAACCAACTGTCGTCTGGCTGGGCAGCTGAGCTAGAACAACAGCTCAGAATACGCACAATAAACTTGTTTAATAAATTGCTTTATACTATTGTTTTTGTTTGATAGCTATATTGGCATTTTTGTCATCGCGATGAGCAAAGAAATTTGCATGCGAGAGACTTTTCTCCGCTCTTCCTCTCTCTCAAAGTGATTACTCGAATGAAATGTTGTTAATTCAGCTCTTTTCTAGCTTAATTTGGCCGTTTTTAATTTTCAATAATTTTAAGCTAATTCGGATGCTTTTTGGCATCCAAATCGCAAGCCAAATTGTGTTCACCAAGCAAATTCAGCTGTTTTTAGCTATTTTTCCATTGATTTGAGCTGTTTTTTTTTGGGCAGCACTGATTGATCGCTGCAATGAATAATAAATACTGTGAACGCAATCAGTTAAGAATGAGAAGCATTTGCGACCGCACAATGGAAACGTAGCCGGCACAACGTGCAGTAGAACTCAAACATTCTTAGATTACAAATTACAAATTTATTATGTACTTTAAGACTAAGCGCAATTTGCACAATTGTGTGAAATAAGCCGGTAAACAGAGTCCGATGTTATTCGGTCCAGCGGTGGGTGCAATTTTGATTGGTGCACACATAGTACAGTCGCATCTCTTCCTCGGCGCGTCGGGTTTGCGCCTGAAAGAAGACCGCCTCGCGATGTGAGCATTTTGGGCATGCGTGATCTTCGGTGCGCGGCAGCGTGGGATCTGATATGACATCCGGTACAATGTGTGTCAGCTCGTCGATTTCGTGCATAATTTTGTTTACATATATACAGTTGGAGTCGGCCTCCTGTTTGTAGTCACAATTGCGACACGCATACATCAGTATTTTGTTATCCTTGTCCTCCTTGGGATATAACATGTTGTTACATTCCTGGCAGAAACGTATGCCCACGAAACCGGGGCCTTCGGTATGCGCCGAGTCGAACAAGCCAGCCATGATGTCTACAATAATTACAAAAATATAAATAGTTGCTATTTTACAAACATTTCCTCAGTTTACCAATGTTTGTAAAGCTGCACCAACAAAAATGTCAAGCTATCGATTGTTTCGATAAGTATTATCGACCATTTACGCTTAAAAATATTTTTAAGTCGCAAGTAACAGTTTTATCGTTATGTTTTTTATTTATTGCTTAAACTATCATGTGAAATATTTTAGCTTAAATAAGACGAATTTAAACCAATAAATAAATTAAATAATGCATCAAATCGTTCAGTTTGGGAATTTATTGAATTTTAAGTCTTAAACGAGTAACGAGGCTAGGAATGCGAGCAACAAAACAACGCCTGGTCACACTAATGTCAGCACAGCTGATTGGTTGTCTACGAAAAGTGTGAATAGTCCGACGCTAACGCCATTGTGTACGCTTACGTGCCTTTGCACGAGCTGTAAATTGTGAGTGAATTAATTTAAAAAAGCATGCGTAGAGCTTGTCTAAGGTCGTTAATAAATTAAGATATTGATACAGAAATATAAAACTATCGTTTTCAGTCAGTGTGGACATCGTAGACGTACAAGTAAATAACAAGCCCACGCTATCTCTCTCGCTCTCGCCCACAGTTTCTGCCCATATAACTGTTGCATTACGCTACAGTCGATCAGGTCGGCAGCGACATTTCAGACGACGTATGACTTTCATTGACGCAAGTTTCACATTTAATTAGAGAAACCACAACTGCAGTTTTTATGTGTGTGTGTGTGTCGATGCGTGTGTGTAACGCAAATATAATAAAATTCAAATTAACAGATTAGCATAGAAAAGTTGGAAAATAAAGTTCGAAACGAAATTCCTTTAAAGCCGGCAACAAAAATATTCAATATTGAAAAGTATGCAACAATTTTCAAAGTTTTATATTAGAATTATTTTCAACCCTAAATATTTTTTTCACGAGCAAACGCAGAGCGAGAGAACTTGTTGCCAGTTTTTTTTTCATCAGTCAGCACGTAGCGTGCTCTCGCTCGCTCTCTCTGAACCGATCAGTGGCTGGCGCCGCCATTTTTATTGTGCGCTGCTTCTAGGCGTTGCTGACGTGACGCTGGGTGAAGAGATCGATTTAAATAAATCACGAGCCTGAAAGTAGGCTAACTTACGCAACCCCATTGATCCTTGTCATCCTGCTTCCGTCACAGATTCTCGCGAGGCATTCAATGAGCGCCAGCAAGGACGCCCCAGCGGCAACTCCCCCCGCCTCCAGCAGCATCAACATTTCTGACGGCGACAAACCCAAGGAAAAACGCACTGGCACACGCATGAAGCTGCTCAACGATGTGGCAGCAAAGGCTGCAGCTGCCAGTAAGGGCGCCTCCGTGTCGCCGCGCCTTAAGCCGGAGAAACGCACAAGCATAAAAATACTCAACAACAATAACAACGATGAAGCTCAGACTAGTACAAAGGGCGGTGACAGGCGTGCCACGCCCAAAGCCGCCAGCACCAGCGTCAAGATATTAAACGAGAAGCGCTCGGCGCCGGCCAGCTCGGCTGTGGAAACGGCCAAGATAAAGACATCGCCCAGCAAGAAGAAAAAAATGGATCACTATGTGCTGCAGGCCATTAAAAGTGAGAATAACAAGGCGGAGAACACGACCAGCGTCGTGGTCGTCGAGGACGAGGACACCATAGACTTTATACTGGCCGATGATGATGTCGAGCTGGGTGCCGGAGCAAAGGAGAATGGCGAAGAATTTGTGGTATCTGGTGTGGATGAGGATGATGACGACGATGACGATGACGAGGATGACGGTGTGGTGGAAGGTGGTGCCAAACGCAGAAGCGGCAACAATGAACTCAAGGAAATGGTCGAGCACGTGTGCGGCAAGTGCTACAAGACATTCCGACGCGTCAAAAGCTTAAAGAAACACCTGGAGTTCTGTCGCTACGACAGCGGCTATCATCTGCGCAAGGCGGACATGCTCAAGAATCTGGAGAAGATCGAGAAGGACGCCGTGGTCATGGAGAAGAAGGACATCTGCTTCTGCTGCAGCGAGAGCTACGACACCTTTCATGTAACTATAAGCACACACAGTCCTATCGAGAGTCTAATTAAAATCTTCTTTTAAGCTTGGCCACATCAACTGCCCCGATTGCCCGAAGTCGTTTAAGACGCAGACGAGCTATGAGCGTCACATTTTCATAACACACTCGGAGTTCAATGATTATCCGTGCTCCATTTGCAATGCCAAGCTGAGGAGCGGCGCGCTGCTTAAGCTGCACGAGCAGCAGCATCAATTGCGCGGCAAGCCGTTTGCCTGCAAAATCTGTGGCAAGGACTTTACGCGCTCGTATCACCTGAAGCGCCATCAGAAATACTCGTCCTGCTCGGCCAATGAGAACGACACCATGAGCTGCAAGGTGTGCGATCGTGTCTTCTATCGCCTCGACAATTTGCGCGCTCATCTCAAACAGCATCTGGGCACCCAGGTGGTCAAGAAGCCGGAGTACATGTGTCATGTGTGCAAGAATTGCTTCTACAGTCTCTCCACACTCAAGTAAGTAGCCCATGGCGACTGTGTCATGTCCCAACCAGATGCTAATCCAATTTGCCTCCATTCCTGCAGCATTCACATACGCACTCATACCGGCGAGAAGCCCTTTGATTGTGATCTGTGCGACAAAAAGTTTTCGGCTCTGGTTGCGCTCAAGAAGCATCGACGTTATCATACGGGCGAGAAACCCTACACCTGCACTGTGGTACGCACCTTTCAACTCCATTAATCAAATCAAAAAAACTGGCTTGTTTAGTTAATAGAGAGCCAAAGTCTTTCACCAATCCAATTGTTACCACAGGGGATAACACACAGATAATATAGTCTGCCCCTTTTACGCTTCAAAATCTCAAGTTAAAGCTAGAAGAGGGGCAGAGAGATTTTTTATCCTTCATTCAACAGCAAAGCTTGTTTCTTGTAGATAATCTCTTCATGTTTGTTGTGCTTATACCTTGTGGTTTTATTGGTTATCCCGGCTTAAGTTATTCCTGCTAATTGTTATTGTTTTCCGCCCGCAGTGTAGCCAATCTTTTGCTGTCAAGGAGGTGCTTAATCGCCACATGAAGCGACACACGGGCGAGCGTCCGCACAAGTGCAACGAGTGCGGCAAGAGCTTTATCCAGGCCACACAGCTGCGCACCCATTCCAAGACGCATCTGCGTCCCTACGCGTGCTCCTTGTGCATCCAAAAGTTCAAAACCGAGAAGCAGTAAGTTTGACATTAGATATATCGTTGCCTTACTCTAATACTTGTCCTCGATGCAGACTCGAGCGCCACGTGAAGGATCATACGCGCCAGAAACGCGCCTCCTTTGCCTGCACGGAGTGCACACGAAGTTTCCGCACCAGCGCGCTGCTGAAGGAGCACTTGGACGCTGGCGATCATTCGCGTAAGTTGCCTCTGATTTGGCTTCGTGCACGCTTCTTTTAATAAATCATTTTTGCAGCTGTTAAATCGACACGAGCCAAACGCTCGGCCAAAATGATCGAGCGCACGGACTGCGCCATTTGCGACAAGAACTTCGACACAACCGAGACACTCCGGAATCATATACGCAGCGTGCACGAGTGCGATCCGGATGACATCTTTGGCACGGAGCCGCCAGCCAAGCGTAGAGCTAAAAAGACCGTCGTGGCCGCGGTGGCAGAGGAGCAGAAAGAGCAGGAGGAAGACGTGCCGGCGGCCAACACGTCAGCGGGCTCGCTCATCTCCAGCAAAACGGATGGCAACGGAGTCGTGGTGCGCGAGTTTCTGGTGGATGAGGGCGATGGCAACGCGCAGACCATTGTCCTCGAAAACGAGGTCTACACCATTTTGCCGCTGGAGGGTGGAAAGGCAACCGAGTCCACGGCCGAGACCGACGTCAAGGCCGAGTCGTCTAAGGAGAAGCCATCTGTGTCGCCGGTGGTCAAGAAGGAGCAGCGAAAATCACTGGCCGCCAGCTTGGCCGCTGCCATTGCGGATAATCTGGAGGAGCCGTCGAGCGATGATGAGTTTAGTGGCGAGGTGCTGACCGAGGAGGATCTGAAGCTCAAGGAGAACATTGCCAAGTTAATCGACATGCTGGTCGATCCGCAAACCCTTAAGAAATACGGCTGGCCTAACAGCTCCGAGGAGTCGGTACTGTGCAAGGTCATTGAGAACTGTGGCCACGATCTGGCCAAGGGCAGCGAAGCCTACGCCGAGTTGGACTACGGCAGTCGCATGCGCGAATATTGCAAACTGCTCTTCACCGTGGTGATTCACAATGATTCGATAAAGGCGCTGCTCAACAATTTTCCGATCGACGATGTTATTGAGTATGTGCTGGGCGATGAGGATCAGGACCAGGATCAGGAGACAGACAAGGGCAAAGATAAGGAGGCCGACAACACGGATACGGACACCAGAGAGGATGCTGTTGAGTCCGAGGCTTAACACACGGCACCCGACAAGCGTTTGTAAATACATTTAAAGGGTATTCACACAGTCGGTCAACTATACGGTTTTTCTTCATTCCAAGCGATGAAATTTTCTTTAATGCTTGCTGCATCCGCTGTGAAATACCCGACACATTTAATTTTCTTAAGCATGTTGGTTTTGGTTTGAACACTAAGTGACCTTAGATAATGAATGATAATAATGTACCACCCCATTGAACTGTTGTTTACAATTTACATGCTGATGATATTTCATATGCTATTTTTTAACAAATTTATTAAATATACATCTTTATATATAAAAGCTCTGATCCTGACTGACTGATTTATTGATCAATTGAGAGCTGGAAAGCTTCATTATATCATAAAGCTGCTATAGGAAAGATCGTTCGGAAAGTTGGTTCTTGTATGCACAAGTTTTTGGTTTCTTAAGATGTTTTCACCAAACTCCGCATTTATAAATTTTACTATGTTCCCTATATATATATGCAAAATCTTATTCACATCGGAACACTGTATCATATCGCTACCATACGAACGGCCGATCGAAAATAGGTTCTTTATTCGTTTTACTTTGTGCCTCATAAATAGGCGAAATTCTACCAACATGGGACTACTAGCAGCTATATGATACTGCTATTGGAATAATCGGTCGAAAATTAAGTTGTGTGAAAATGTTTTTTGTCTTTCAAGTTATATTAACCAATAAAAGTTTTACTCTGCAAGGGTATTAAGTCTTCGGCATGCCGAAGATAGCATTTCTTTGTCGTTTGTTTTTATTTCACCCGCAAGTGTGGAAAATTGGTGAAAATGGTGAAACTGGTTTGTTTACCGACGGATCGGCTTTATACACACTTTAATAGTTATTTATCTATAGCTCGGATCAATTAACTCTGATTTTAAGTGGTTATACCTTCTCGGAGTCGATAAACTTGGGCTCTACTTTATTTACGCGGCGTATTCCTATTAAAACATAATTCAAAACTACGAGACAAGGCACAAAAAACAACATTTCACTGCTCCATCAGCATTTTAAGTATGCGCTCATTGTTCAGGAGGATCTTGTGGCGACTTTCGTCGACCAGCTCCTTGTACTCGCTAATGCTGGCCTCGATGGCAAGCATCTGCTGCTTCATGGGCTCCGTGGCGGATGCCGTGAGGCTGCGCTCCCGCTTCAGCTCCGCGGCAGCCTGTGTGTACGACTCCCGCCACATGCTCAGCTCCAGCTGCATGGCATCGATGTCTTCGGGTATAAAGTCGAGAAGTTTGCCCAGCGGATTCACGGACTTGGTCAGGGTCTGTATGATGTCGCGCAGATCGTTCATTTGACGCGCGGAGCTCTGCCGCGTGGTTGACGACTGAGTCTTCTGCTGGGACTCCTCCTTGCCTGCGTCGTTGCCCTGCTGTACGAGCTCCTTTTGGGTCTCCAGAATTTGCTGCACCAAACGACCCTGATTAGCCTCCGGATCCAGCGCCCCAGTGTCCGCCGTGCCCGTTTCGATGTCATGTGCATGTGCATCCTCGATGACTACCAGATTCTCGCCGTCATCATCGAAGTCCCCAAACGTCTCCAGCTTTACATTGATGCCGTTCATCTTGAGTTGATCGTTTGGCTGCAGCACGATTTCCACATTCCGTCGCCGCGGTGCGCCCGGACGTGCCGAGGCCGGCCGGGCGCTGGGCGGCCGCAACGAGGTGCGCGGACGTGTCGACTCCTTGGAGTTCTCGCGCGTGAAGGTGCCCTCGCGCTCCCGCTTGGGCTCGCTGATGTTGGCGTCCGCATCTGGCCGAGTCGAGGCTGAGGCTGTGCTCTGTTCCTCGTTGGGGCTCTTGGACGGATCCGGGGAGACCGCTTCGACTGCTGCCTGCCGCTGACTAGCGCTGGAGCGTCGACTTTTGCTGGAGGATTTGCGGCTTTCCGGCTCCGCGTGCTCAGCTGCAGCAGTACTTGGAGGCGGCTCCTTGGCGGGCTCCTTGGCCGGCTCCTTGACTGGCTCCTTGACCGGCTCCGGCGGCTCAGCCTTGGGCGACGACGCTGGGGAGGGCAGCTTGACAGCAGGTGCCGGCGACATGGACTTCTGTTCAGCCTCCGTTGAAGCTTGTTGCTTAATCTTCGTCGTGGGAGAGGGACTCTTTTGCTTGGAGCTCTGCTTGCTCGGCTTTGGCTTCGGCTTTGGCGCTTCCGGCGAGGCCTTCTGCCGGCGCTGCTGTGCTGCCGGCACCTTGTCAGTGGGCGTGGCATGTGCTGCCTGATCTGTGGCCTTGCGCAGCTTCTGCTCTTGCGGCGATATGCGCTTCTCTCTGCGCTGAGCGGGCTGCTCCTTGGCCGTTGGCGACGTTTGTTTGCCGCTGGCTTTTGGTTTGTCGCCGGCTTTGCTTGGCTTGGACTTCGGCAGCTCGGTCTGGTCGCTGGCCAGCACCTGCTGCACTGCATCACGCCAGTCCAGTTGCTGCTCCACGACGCTGGCCATCGCCTGCAGCAGTTCGTTGGTCAGCCTTGGCTCGTGCCCCGCCACAATTTTCGAGGTGCGCACTTTCAGCTCCCGCTTCGTGGTCAGTTCTGAAACGAATCTCCGGATTTAGATGGGGTATACCATAAAGTCTTAGCCGGGAACTCACTTGTGACATCAATCATCTTCTGCAGAAAGCGCGTCTTGTCATTGCTGTAAATAATTGGATAAGATTTCATGGATTAGGGATCGGCTCGTGGTCTTACCGATCGTTGATGTTCTCGAAGAGCTGCTCCTCCGGCGTGTAGAGACCCTCAAAGCAGCCCGTTTCCCTTATAAACTGCACAGAGAAAAGAAATGCTGAGTTACTTTTGAGGAATTCCAGAGCTAAGCCTTACCGCGCTAAAGATGTCCATCAGGTAGCGAAAGGGCGGCTTCCTGAGCAGCTTCTCTGTCAGCGGCGGCTTCTTTATGTACTTGCCCAGGCTCTGCTGCGTGGCCTTAATCACAGCTGCGTCCAGCTCCTGGTCGGACATGTTTGCCTCCTAAAATGTCTCTGAAATTTCGCCCAACAACCCGGCCAATTGTTTGGCCCAACTCGTTGCCAGGGGCAACCAGTTCCCCTAAAGAAACCAGCTCAAGCTGCGCATGCGTTAAATAGAATTCCAGAAGTTGGGAATCCGTAAAAGTCATCCGATCCAGAATTAAAGCTAAATTTGATCTAAGCAGATAATATACATAAAATAGATGGTAACATGGTACAAAATATGTCTAAAGTAATTAAACAAAAGGTTAAGGATTTTATTTCTTTTTTAAACACATTCTTACTTTATTTTGTTTATAAAATCTTCTCATAGAATTTGATTTGCATTTTAGTTGGCCTTGGGAAAGTTGACGGCTGAATTGTGTCGCGATTGCACAAACATTTGCAATATTATTGACAATAAACATTAAGAATACTATTGAAAGCTAACAAATAAATTATAATTAAGAGTTACAAGTTAGATTTAACAGTTATTTTGTAGCGGCCAATTAAATGTGCAAACAGAGCAGTCAGTTATGCATTTAAACTTGCAGAGACTAACGACTAAATGTGTGTTTGAATTAAGATTAATAATTCTCATAGCTAAACTAGGCATTTTTAAGTGTAATTAAAGCTAATCATACAAAAGAGGAAAGTATATATAAACATATTTTGGGGCTGGGGCTGGGGCCTTGCAAGCAAATTGGCGGCAATTACAAAGGGGCTGACAGTTTGGGACTAACAATAAGATCAAAAAAGAAAACAAACATTCGACAAACGCGTCGTCATCTAGTATATAGTACAGGTTTAAATAGCGCAGCGCTGCCTAACATATAAACATATCTATATATGTATGTATATATATATGCATATATAGGTATATATAGGTATATAGTATAAAGGTAGTGTACGTATCTATAATTTACATTTAGCGCAGCATTTCGTGTGCCGCAATTAAAAACAATTTATAAACTTAATTATCCCCCTCTTTAACTCTAGCTCCCGCTCGTCTCACAGCAATTAAATCTAGTTTCAAGCTCGGCTACAATTCAAAGAAATCATCCTGCTGCTTCTCCAGGCGCTTCAGCGAGTTTTGTACGCGACGCGTTTGCGTTGTGTTCAGAAGCTGCGCCGTGTCCGAGTTGCCGCTGCCCGTCGAGCTGTGCCTCTGATGATGCGGCGGACGATTGTTGTTGTTGTTGTTGTTCTTGTAGGAGTTATTCAGCTGCTGATTGCGGCGTTGCGAGAAGACATCGGTTGTGGGGCTGATGCAAATCTCCGCATCGCTCTGACTGTTCACCAGGCTGAGCAGAGAAAAAGAAAGGGACATGTTATTACCTATATATAGGAATATATTGGTAAAGCCGAGGCACTTACTCCTTGGAGCGTTCCACGTATTTGCGTGACTCGGATATTGTGTTGTCTATCTTGTTGAGAAAGTCGTTCATGCACTTGCGATTCTCCTCCTCGGGCGTCATTGCGGCCACAGAGTCCAGGGATTTGCTCTGCTTGCTGCTGCACGCGCTGTGATTGTGCATCAGCGCCGGATCCTCGTCGCTGGCCTGGACCAGCAGCTCGCCGGCAATCGAATAGGGACGCGGTGTGCCATGCAGCTGGCCGGAACGTGTGCTCGACGAGCTCGACGAGATGTTTGTATTGCAACTGTTGCTGCTGCCGCCGCTGTTGTAGCTCAAATTGTTGGCATTGTTCAGCGTCTCCCGCTGCACATTCGCATCCGGCGTGGTCGGCGGCGAGGCCAGCACATCGGCCAGCTGGTCAGCCCCATTTGCCTGCAAATAGTATGGCGACGTCTTCTCTACGGGCACCAGCAAAAACTGACGCAGAAACAAACTGTCCGAGGCAAACAGACGGTTCGCGCGCCTTATTTGCTCCGTCTGAAATGTGTAGGTAAAAGAGGACATATTTATATTAATATAATAAATATATATAAGCTTAACAACTACAGTCGAAACTCGACTTGAAGACATTTGCGGACAACTAACTCTCTTCCCTTTCGATATGGTCCACTAATTCGTTTGTCCATAAACCAATCTCTGAGTCTTAAAGCTTTCATAATGAAACACTTTTCGTCGGAACAGCTCGGATCGGAGGACTATATCAAATGGCTGCCATAGGAACTATCGGTCGAAACTTAAATTTTTGCATAAGCAACATATTTGTTCTTCAAGATATTTTTACCTGTAGTACCTATCTATCATCGTCGGATATTTTATTTAATAATATCTTTACCAAATCTTATTTAAGTGAGAACGCGAAATAATATATTATGTTTTTTCCAGATATCTGTTTAAGGAACCGCTGTTCGCTTAAGCGTGTGTTCACTGTACAAATAATACTAATCTATATATTAAAAATAAAATCTTAAAAAGATGACAGTAAGCGACTTTTTATGGGAAATTCCTAAGAAATATGCTTGCATTCCCGATATCTTTGGAACGATCGCTCAAGCGTGCGTTCACTGTACATGCAGTTGAATGAGTGACAGCCAATAGACTAACTAATTGATGGCTGGCTGCGTTGACACAGCCCGTGTTTGAGTCATGATGATAAATTGGGCCAACAACAAGGTAAATGAACCAAACGAAACAACTAATACTAAGAATCCCAACAACTTATCTGTGTGGAAGCTGATTAAATGTTGACAAAAAAAAAACTTAAATATTAGCCTAGATTCTGGTCGCACTCGTGACTGGTGAACTGTACATAAATCATATGCAGCAAACTGTCGGAACATTTGGCTGCAGCATTTCTCCACTTTGCGCGATAACACAGCTGATAAGCACACACACACACACACCCCCCCCCCTCCACCTTCCCATTCTCCGACCACTTCGCCCATGTCTAAATTGTGATGCTATCTTATTTGCCCAAAATTAGTGTCAAGCGTGGCTCGCAGCTCATAAACAATGAAATGTATACGAAAAGGATTTCACGCTATTAAATCGATTGAAAGTTGAAAGTTGGCTGACATTTGGAATATGAAAGAATTTGCGTGCCACACGACAGCTAAAAAGAAGCCATTGCAAGTTGAAGGCGGAGGGCCACCCAACACTCTGTGGGGCGGAGGGGATTTCCAGTGAACATGGCTCAAATCGATTGAGCATACTTTGCAGTGTGGCCAATTCAGCTATTTTCTAGCTACTTTAGACTATTTGAAGCTCAAATTAGGCATACTTTGCAGTTCAGCTATTTTCTAGCTACTTTTGGATATTTTTAGCTGAAATCGATTAAGCATACTTCTACTACATTTAGCTATTTTTTTGTGTGTGCTAATTTTAGCTTTTTCTTAACTTAAATCCAATAAGCATACTTATACTACGTTCAGCTATTTTCTAGCTAATTTTAGCTCAAATCGATTGACCATACATTGCAGTGTTGCCCGTTCAGCTGTTTTATAGCGGATTTTGACTGATTTAGCTATTTCTTGGCATCCCCTCTGCTCACATCGCTAATTCACCCATTTTTACCGTTGGATTTGGCTAAATTTTGGTGCGACAGCTGGCAGCACTGATAACTAGCCGACAAACTGTTTATTATTACTAGCACATACCGTGGCGCCATATTTGAGTGAAATTCCTTGCAGTGTATCCGTTTTTTCCACCGTGTGTCGTATGAGAATTTCATTGTTTCTCAGATTGTTGCAGCAGGTGCTGCCATACTTCTTGAGGGTGCGTGAGGAGTCGCGTATCGATTGCTTTTCGTTGAACATGAATTCGGTGTCATCCATATCAGGCACGATCTCTTGAAACTGCAATTGGATCGAACAAGTGAAAGGAGAAAGTGTTAATTATGTTTCCGTAACTGTGTTTGCATGTTATTTGTTTTTTCTTTGGGTTTTGTTTTTGCCAACAACAGCTGTGATGTCATTGTTGTAGCGTAACAAACATTTGTGTGTGCGTGTGTGTGTGTGTGTGTGTGTGTGTCTATACTTGTATGGTATACCTATAAATATAAATAGCGCACAGGCAATTTCAGTGATTTCTTTATTAGACAGAATCCCCTGCCCCCCTGCACTCACACGAACTCCCCAGCAGCAGGTAACTACAGCCAAGCGCAACCGAAAGTTAAAACAAAAGCAATGCAGTTGCAACGGTTATGCCAATATAAAGGCACATTTTACTTTAAAAAAAAAATGCATTATTTTAAATTGTATGCACGCAAGTATTTAATTTCACTGCTGTTTTGCTAATTAATTTTTTTTGTAATATTTTTTCGCTAACGTTGATTTACAGTTGCGTTTACTACGTGTTTACAAGTTGTTGTGTTGTGCTGTGATGTGCCAGTGTGACCGTAGCGCTCGATTGACTTAATGCCAAATATACCAAGGTAGGCAATACACGCTAGAGATGGGCACTTGTTGAAATTGTCGACTCGAGCACAATAAACCGTTTTCTTTCTAAGCCACTCAAAGTGCTGGATCGTCGTGTCACGCCCACTAATTGATGCCCCGCTTAAAAGTTATCGATTGCTGCGATGCACAGAGTTGCAACTGTAATTGTTGAGCGCGTGTTTTGTTTGTTGCCTTTTGTTTCGAGCGCATGCTAATTTGCGATTGTTTTTTATTGCTTACGAGGGCGAATAATAATTTTTTCACGTGATAGCCAACAACGTAAACGCCTTTCAATGTATTGCATATTGTTGTTGTTGTTAGGCTTAAACCTGTTTGGACAAAGCAGCAGCTCGCTGTCGACCCACTCTCAACAAAGACAAACAACAAGCCAAACGGCGGCGGCCAGCTGCTGCATAGTATATTTAAAATTATTAAATCGAATTGCCGGCATGACTTTTAATTAACATGTGACTTTATTTATTAATGATATCTCAGTATTTTATTTGTAATATTAATGCATTATTGCCAGCGTACTACAACGTGGCTAAATGCAATTACTTCCTTGGCTGCCACTTCAAGACACACTCACATGTGTGTGTGTGTGTGTGTATTTGCATTGACAGCTGCTGCTGCTGTTAAGGTCAACAACAACTTGTCGCAGTCAAAGTGTTTTCTGCAATAGCAGTATGTTACCATTTGCATGCAGCAGAGAGAAAGAGAAAGGGAGAGAGCACTGTTTTCGAATGTACGGTAAATATTAGCTGATATAACGCAACTGATAAGCGCACCGAATCCTCCAACTATCAGACGACAGACAATTTAACAGTTTCAGCCCAATTTCCCATTGATCTATTTGAAATAATATAAAACA